ATCCGCATGCGGGGCGTGCCCCTATGCGAACCTTGTCTCTGCGGATGTAGGTGGAGCTCCTTGTGGGGCGCGATCCTTGTGAGGGGTGTGCCAACAAAGGCGGGGTAACGCTAGCTAAGCCTGTCTCTGGGGCCGCAGGTGGAGCTCCCTGAGGGCATGACCCGTGCGACAACGTATGCCCTCCAATACCGCACACTTCAGACTACAACTAGAGCTTGCCAGAACCTAAGCGCGCGCGCAGCGAGCGCGTACACATACATATATATATATATATATATATATATATACATATACATATACACATACACAAGCATGTACATATACATATACACATACACATACACATACATACATACATATACACATGCATGCATACATACATGCATGCATGCATGCATGCATGCATGCATACATACATACATGCACGCATGACAGACAGACAGACAGACAGACGGGCAGACAGACAGACAGACAGACAGACATGTACACTTATGTGTGGGTGATGCAAGCTGGGTGGCGTAATGAGTTTGAAGTCCACGTGGTACTTCCCAGGAGTTACAACACATGTGATGCAAAGTACCTTGCGCAAGCTATGTCGTGCTACATCGTTGTTTTGGCTTGTTCGTTGCAAGCTACGTAATGCAATCTGACTTAGCAACATACGTGGCACAGCCTAAGTGGTGCAAGCTATGTTTTGCCAGCCATGTGGTGCAACCTACGTGGTGCAGTCTGCCTGGCGCAAGCCCAGCCAATGCACAAGCACGCCTCATGAGCCTCCTTGGGCGTCTTCGCAGCTTTGGGGGGAATCTCGGGAGCTTCTTTGCCCGTTTTGTTGCGTTCCTGGCCCGTCTGACGCAGTCGAAAGTCACCTTGGGAGCCTTTCTGGGCCGTTTGGGGGCCTTTTCGGGGGCGCTGACAAGCCGTCTTGGAGGCCAGAGCCAGCGCACGGGGCGACCCCATGCCCGACTGCCCCCACGACCCCCCGCCCGACCCGACGGCCTCCCGGCCACCGCCCAGCGACCCCTCGCCCAACGATCCCCACGACGGCCTGGCGGCCCCTGGCCCCCCAGGTCGCTCCACCACGACGGCCAGACACCTTGCCCGATTCCAAAAAACCATAAAAACTGAATAAACAAATCTATATACATATATATATATATATATACACACACGCAAAAAAAACACCAACAAAACCTTGCCAGATTCCCACCCGACGTCTTGCCCGACGCCCCACCCCACCCCCTACCCGACCCCTCGCCAAACGACCGCTCCTCGCCCGTCTCCCTCCTTACTGGGACTGCCCCGGCTGCGCGGCCAGCGCTACCTGCACGGACAGCTACATGGGCCACAGGACGGACGACCCAGCGGCCGACATTTCGGCCCATTCGACACCACCTCTGGATGCCTCCCTCAAGGACGCCTCGTTTGACCTTACCCCGAGGCCCCTCCCGACAGCCCCACCGACGGCAACGACGACGACCACGACCACGACCACGACCACGACCACGACCACGACCACGACCACGACCACGACCACGACCACGACCACCACGACCACGACGACGACGACGACGACGACGACGACGACGACGACGACGACGACGACCACGACAAAGTCTTCCTCGATGGACGGCCCGAGGCCTCTCCCCACGACACTACCGACCACGACAGTGACAGCGACGGCTTGGAGCCCCTCCGCACGGCGACGCGACTTCCCACATCCACGCCCCTCCCCACGAATGCCTCGCCCGACGCCCCGCCCTCCCGCGACGCCCTACCGCGACGACCCGACGCTCGGCCCGAAGCCCTGCCCGACACCCCCCCCCCGCCCGATGCCTTGCGCGACCATCGGCCTTGCGCCCCGCCCCACTCTCCATGCCCGCCGCCTTGGCCCGATGACCGCGCCCCACGTCCGACCCCAGGCTGGGCCTCTGCCGCGGCCACGCGGCCAGCGCTGCCCACACGGAGGGCTGGGCCAACACGGAGCACGGACGGCCCCACGCCCGACCCAACCGGCCGACCGCGCTGCCGCCCTCGACCGCCGACCCGTCGACCAGCCGCGACCGGACGACGCAACCGACGGCCGACCTCCTCCTCCTCCTCCTCCTCCTCCTCCTCCTCCTCCTCCTCCTCCTCCTCCTCCTCCTCCCTCCTTCCTTCCTCCTTCCTCCTTCCTCCTTCCTCATTCCTCCTTCCTCCTTCCTCCTCCTCCTCCTCCTCCTCCTCGGCGGCCTGGTGGGCGCCTTCGGGTCGGCGCCCACCAGGCCGCCGACCCGAAGGCGCCACCGGCAGTGGACCCAGCAGCATGCCCGACAGTTTCCACGACAACGAGGCGCAGCAGCCCGAGCGTGGCCGAGACGAGCAGCACGGCTCCCGGAGAGACGAGGGCGAGGACCACGGCCCTCCCGACGACCTCCCCCGCGCCCCCCCCCCCATTGCCCGCCGCCCTACCCGGTGTCACCCCCGACCCTCCACTCTAACTCGACGAACCCGACGCTCGATCGCTGCCTTGCGACGCCCTACTCCACGCTCTACCCGACGCCCCCAAATAGATGACAGTCGGTAGCAAATCATGGGAGCGTTATATTCCCTCGTTATCCCGTCTTTAGCGTCGACTAGCGTCTGCGAGTCGATGAGATAGCGCCGACCAGCGTCGATTTGGCGTCGACCAGCGTCGACTCGCAAGAGCCGACAAGATGGCATGGGAGGCTCCCATGCGATGCCAACGAAGATGATATCCCCTTGATGGGACCTCGAGGCCCGCTGGACTCAACGCGTCCTCGCCGTCGCCAGCACGGCCGCCGCCAGTCCCCCGATCGCCGACTTCGCTTTCACCAGCGCCGCCGACGCCCAGACCCAGCTCCACGACGAGCGCCGACGGGCCAAGTGCGGCCCAGCAGCAGCAGCTCCAGAAAACTCGCGACATCGAGGCGGAACTCCAGGTGATGGACCACCTGATGGCCGGCTTGACCCAAGGCCTCTTACCCGGCGCCCCGCCGGACCTTTCCGACGCCATTCCCGACCCTTCCCCACGACGGTCGCGCTTCACCGACGCCCTGCCCGATGCCTCACCCATTCCTTGGCGCGTGCGATTTGACGACAACCCCCCCGACGACCCACGATCCCCATGACCCCTCCAAACTCAGGAGGGAAAAAACACACAGACACAATTAATCTTCGAGTCCCGAGAAAATATGGGACAATATGGGCAGTGGGGGGAAGACAGAAACCCAGAAACAAATATGGGAAAATATGGGGAATCTGTTTATTTGTGTGTATTTATTCGTGTGTCCCATGACCCCTCCAAACGCGAACCTTCCTTTCTCCTGCCGCGCGGGCGCGCTTCGCGGCCACAGCCCTTCCCGGGCCCCCTGCAGCCACGGCCACCCCGACGGCCACGACGACGAGGCCGCCGCCCAGGCCCCACGGAGCTTGAAGCCAGAAACGATGTTCAAAAGGAAAAAACAACTTCCGGCACGATTTCCTTTTTGCAAAAAAAAAAAAAAAACACGCCACGTTGTATCTAATATACTACTATACCGTTTGAATTTGTTCAATGATATTTCTGGACAATGATAATTGACAGCAAACCTTTCATAAAAACAGCTCCCAGCGAGTTCCCAACCGAAGACCCCCCCCCTCCGATAGCAGCTCTATTCGGAGCGTGCAACTCGCCGACGCGCCATAGACTGCACCGCGGCTGGCCAGCGCTCTGGGACAGCCGAACGGGCCCAGTAAGCTATCGGTTAGCACCTGAAGCAGACGGTGCGACTGCGCACGGCTGTGCAGCATCCCCGACAGCCACTTTGACGACCACCGCCCCCCTGCCCCTCCCACCCCCCAGCGAGCACAACTCACATCCTGCCACCAGGGCAGCAGGAGCCCCCCCAGCCTCCTCCCGCTGCCTGGCAGCTGCCCGGCAGCGCCCCTGCCTGGGGAACCGGCCCGTGGCACGGGCCAGGCCCACCTGGAGGATTGCCGCTCATGACGCACCCATGCGACGACCCCCTTTTCCCCCGTCCCTCACAACGACCCGACGACCCCCCCACGGCCAACTTCGCATCAACACCACCTCCGGCGCCGACAGCACCTCCAGGGGACGCCAATTCCCACGCCACTACATGCACCCAGACGCCAGCGTCTTCGACACGGCCTTGCCCAGGCAGGAGGAGGAAATGATTCTCCGGACCGTTTCTGGAGGAGGGCAGGAGTCGTGCTCTTCGGAGGCGTAGCCCCGCAGACCTCCCTTGCTGCCCTGACCGGTCGTTTTATCCGGTGGGGTTGCAGGGGGGCCGAGGCCACGTCTCCACTGGTCGCGTCCGTCAGGACTCAAGGACCATCAGAAGCAGCATAATAGGAAGAAGGTAGAGGAGGACGAGGACGAGGAGGAGGAGGAGGAGGAGCAGCAGCAGGAGGAGGAGGAGCAGCAGGAGGAGGAGGAGGAGGAAGAGGAGGAGGAGGGACGAGGGACGAGGGACGAGGGACGAGGGACGAGACGAGACGAGGGAACGAGGAGGAGGGAGGAGGAGGGAGGAGAGGGGAGGAGGGAGGAGGAGGGAGGAGGAGGGAGGGAGGAGGGAGGGGAGGAGGAGGAGGGAGGAGGAGGGAGGAGGAGAGGAGGAGGAGGAGGAGGAGGAGAGGACGCGGAGAAGGATGATGATTTGGAGGGGATTGGAGGAGGACGCGGAGGAGGACGCGGAGGAGGATTTGGAGGGGAGGAGGAGGACGAGGACGAGGAGGAGGACGAGGAGGAGGAGGAGGAGGAGGAGGAGGAGGAGGGGCAGGTGGAAGGGAAGGCGGAAGAGCGGTTGAGAAGGCCGAGAGGGAAGAGGGGGCAGATGCGGGAGAGGGAGGGGGCAGGGGGGATATAGCAGCAGTGGAAGGACGAGGAGGAGAGTGTGGAGTAGGAGGAGGACAGGGAGGGGGGGGCGGGGGAGGGGGGCGGGGAGGGGGGCGGCGGGAGGGGCGGAACGGTCCTGCACGCCCATCGCTCCAAAGAGCCCCGCGGACTTCGCCATGGTGGAATTGTCGGAGGCCGCTCCGTTCAACGACTGCACAGGCTCGGCATGCCTCCCGAGCACAGACGTCGCCGATGGCGAGACGTGCATCATCACAGGACTGAGGCCCACATAATAAGTGGAAGAGAGATGTTGCATGTTCATCCTCGTCATCCTCCTTGCTCATCCTCTGCCTCTTCCTTCTGATCATTGACCACCTCCTCCTCCTCCTCCTCCTCCTCCTCCTCCTCCTCCTCTGTACCCAGATCCCTTTCGTGATCGTGCATGACACGCTGGGGTCATTCGGGGGTTCTGCTCAGGGTTGCGGATGTCGAAAAAGAAGCATTGCAATGGTAAGGGATGGGTGATGGGGTCAGGAGGTCAGATCTGGCGCGAACCCACCGAGCTTGTCATGATCATCTCCCCTCATCCTCCCCTTTGGGGGAGGGGGCGAATCTCAGTGACCCCTTTGCCTCGATTGGCTGCCCTGACCGAAAGGATGGGGCACCCTCTCCTCGGGCGGGTCGTCGCCCGACCTGTTGCAGGAGGCGCAGGTGCGCATCGTCAGCCACTCGGATTGCAGCGCCTCTTACAGCGGCGCGGTCACCGAGGACATGGTGTGCGCGCAGGGCCGCAACAGCGCCGGCGAGATCACGGACGCCTGCCAGGGCGACAGCGGCGGACCACTCGTGTGCGCTTCAGGGGGCGACGCCTACGTGCTCCATGGGGCCACCTCGTGGGGCAACGGCTGCGCCGACGCCAGGTACCCAGGAGTGTGGTCTCGGGTGAACTTTGTGCGCGCCTGGATCGACGACGTGATGGCCACCCCACCGCCGACGCCAGCTCCTCCTCCAACGCCTGCCCCACCGCCAACACCTGCGCCCGAGCACATGTGGGCCGGCGTCGTCGGCCAGTGCGCACTGGATGGCACCTGTGTGCAGAGCCTGAACTACCCGCAAGACTACGGCAACGATGAGGGTTGCACCGTAGAGGTCTACGTGCATGTAGCAGCACCCATCGTGGTTGAGGGTTTCGAGACCGAGGATACGTTTGATACCCTAATAGTGAACGGGATGCCCTACCATGGAACTTCAGGGCCCAGCGGCGTCACTCCAACAGCTGACATGCACTGGACGTCGGATTTCTCGATTGCACGAAGCGGGTGGAGGTTGTGCCAGCTATTGCCAACACCTGCACCACCGCCAACGCCAGAGCCGCCACCTACGCCAGCTCCAGTGCACATGTGGGCTAGCGTCGTCGGCCAGTGCACCCTGGATGGCAATTGCGTGCAGAGCCCGAACTACCCGCAGGATTATGGCAACGATGAGGGCTGCACCGTAAAGATTGACATAGGCTTGACAGCGCCCATCACTGTAGCGAGCTTCTACACTGAGTCCTACTTCGATGTGCTCGTCGTGAACGGAGTAGAGTACTCAGGAAGTTCGGGGCCCAGCGGCATCACTCCAACAGTTGACATACACTGGACGTCGGACCACTCGATTGCAGGCAGTGGGTGGGAGTTGTGCATGCCCGCACCACCCACGCCAGCTCCGCCACCACCGCCGCCAACGCCAGCTCCGCCACCCACGCCCGCTCCACCACCAACACCGCCGGCGCTGTGCGGCGCGAAGGGGCCCGACTACACTCCCTGGACAGGCAGCGGCAAGGACAGACCAGCCACAACCGGGGGAGTTGTGGTCCTTACACCCCCAGGGGACCCGTCGGCCTCGACACCCTCTGAGATCCGACGTCACGGAGAAAAACAAGATCGAAACAAGAGTTTGGCCAGAGCCTTGGATCTTTCGAGCCGGATCGATCCGTGAGGGCCCCAGGGCTCTAAACAACGCAAAATCGCCCGTTGCCGAAAATTGGTACGCCAGGGTCTCAGGACCCCTCTCGAGAGACCATCGATACGAGGGGCTCCCCAGCGGGGGTCAAGGAGCAAGGCTCCCCAGGCTGTGGCTTGTCCAGGGGGGGTCGAGGGCCGAGCGCATAGTGGCGGGGCAGGACGCCACACCGTGCGAGTGGAAGTGGCAGGTTGGAGGGGTCGAAAGCGGTACGCGAAGGACGACGAAGGCCGACAGCAGTTCCTTGCCGTCGGCGTCGCCGCAGGCGTCGTCCACTTGAGGCAGAAAGCCGCCTGCCCAGCAGCGGCCGCTGTTGCTTCTGCGCGACGTTTGCTCCTGGGCGTGGTAGCCAAGCTTCCGCACCGTCAAGACAATGCAGTACAGGGTCCGGCTTGAACAAGGATTTTTACTGTTCACAAGTGGCTCGGTCCTTCCCTTGGTCTGCATGCGTCCCGCTGCCTTTCTGGCGGCGAGGCCCCCCTTGTGTTCCTTCGGACTTCCTGGATTTACCAGGGAAAAAACAGGGGCCTCGTTCCTCATCTGCCGTTCCTTGGGGTCAGGCCGAATACTGTGAGGACGGCTTGGGCTCGGGAGGGGCTCGGACCTTCGGGCCTTCGGGCCTTCGGGTCGGTTTTCCTCGTTCCTCATCTGCCGTTCCTTAGGTTAGGCCGAACACTGTAAGGACCGCTTGGGCTCGGGGGGGGGGGCTCGGGCCTTCGGGCTCGCCGTGGCCCCGAGAAGCCCACCGCTCCGCCTTCCGCGCTCCATGGAGCAGCACGGTGATTGTACGGGTACCTTGGCATCGCTCGGACGTGTGCATTTTTTCTCGGCGAGAACCATCGAGGAGCATCCTGGACCATCGAGCAAAGAAAAAGCACGCACGAAACCGAAAAATGCGCGGGGAATGGACGCCCGAGCGACGGCAAGGTACGGGGGGGGCGTCGGCTGAGGAATATGCCCAGGACTCGCCGGGGCCTTGAGGATTCCTGATCCAATGAGGGCGGCAGTGATGCCCATGGCCGATGCACGATTGGGCTTCCACTGGTCTCCAGACCCTGGATTCCTTGTCTCCGGATTCCTCATGCAACGCCCCACCGTATTCATGTTTTCAGTACCCACTTCGAGCGTGCCAAGCAGGTCTCCCTGTCCTCCGGGGACTGGCACTTCTGCGGCGGCACGCTCACCGCGCGTGGTCGGCTGGCCGCCCTGGAACCCTCGCATCATGAAACTTGTTCTGGCGAAGGACCCAACCATATGCAGTTGTGAGTGCAGCCGTTGCGAAAAACGCCTTCGGTGGAGCTCACCACGGGGCCACGAAGCGCGTGAAGGGAGCGCCGAAATGAGGCAGGGCCGCCATGCGGGCGCCGCCGCTGGGGCCGCCCGCAAGGGGCGCGGAGGTCAGACGAAACTGGTTACATGCTGATGTAACCCGTTGCGGCTGACAGGGACCGGGAGAAGCGGGAGAATACATGTGGGCGCGGCATGCGAACGCAGCCATTGGGGCTTTCGGTGGAGCTCCCCATGGGGCCACGAAACGTGCGAAGGGAATGCCAAAGTGAAGGGGGTGGCGGTATGCGAACGCAGCCACTTGCGTCTTTGGTGGAGCCCTCTTCGTGGGGCCATGAAACGTGTGAGAGGTGTGCCGAAGTGAGGGGGTGGCGGCACGCGAACGCAGCCACTGGGGCCTTCGGTGGAGCTCCTCATGGCGCCACGACGCGTGAGGGGTGTGCCAAAGCGAGGGGGGGGCGGCATGCGAACGCAGCCACCTGGAGCCTTCGGTGGATTTCCGATGGGGCCACGAAATGTGTGAGGGGTGTGCCAAAAGAAAGGAGGGTGGTGGAATGCAAACGCAGCTACTGGGGCCTTCGGTGGAGCTCCTTCTGGGGCCACGAACGTGTGATGGGCGTTATGGAGCCACGAACATGTGATGGGCGTGCCAAAGTGAGGGGGGGGTCGGCATGCGGACGCAGCCATTGGGTCCTTAGGTGAGCCCCCTATAGGGGCCACTAAAGGTATAAGGAGTGCGCCACAGTAAAAGGGGTGCGCCACAGCGACGGGGGTGGCGGCATGCGAACGCAGCAGCCATTGGCGCCTTCGATGGAGCCCCCTCTCTTGGGCCACGAGACGTGTAAGGGGTGTGCCAATTTGAGGGGGGTGGTGACATGCGAACGCAGCCAATGGGGCCTTCGCTGGAGCTCCCCATGAGACCCCGACACGTGTGAGGGGTGGGGTGTGCCAGAGTGTGAGAACGGGCTTTTCTGGGAACCCCTCGGGAGGAACAATATCACAA